GTGGCTCTGGAGCTGCATACTGCTGACCCCTGCTTTAGGCCAATCAGAACTGCCAGGTTCTGTGGCAGTATCATATCAAATTTAGTTGTTGGGCACAAATAGGCTTACTCTACCACAGGACAGTAATACTTTGGTCAGTTTTACTGCACATTTAATCAGTCACTCAAGGCACATTTTCTGTCTGAAGTTCACTTTTTTAGTTTTTGCACTGAAGCTATGAGGCTAATGCAGATAAGTAACTGGTACACAGCATCATGCAAATGCATGTCTAAATAATCACACTTGCCTGAGTCCTTCTTGAATTGTCAAGTAGTCTTCTGCCATGTTGTCTGACACTGTATGACATACTGTTATCTATAAAAATAGACAAAGGTACATAGCACAGCTAGAAGACATTAGCAGCCATCTTGAAGCCTGGATTTTAGCCATACTCATGTTTATAGATAACAGAATATCATACAGTGTCAGAAGCAAGTATTTTGAAATTACCTAACATCTCAACACAGCTTGAGATAAATGTGTGCTGAGGTATAAGCTTCTTTTACTTGTTAGCTACATTAGCGTCATAGCTCCAAAACTAAAGAAGTGAAACATGTCTCGGTTGGTCAGCTACAACTGGGATAAGGAGGAAACTTGAGGAAATTTGATTTACACCACATCTTTCTTTCAAGAAGGTTGGTTCTATTTTGCAGCTTGTCATAATGCTTTTTCTTTGGCATTTACTATATTAAAAGTAATCGATATTTAATTTAAATAATTAAATGATCACACACTTAATTGTTCTCCATCATTTTGCATGTTCTATTGGACTGATTTAGTCTGGGTTCTGTTACTGGACAATAATGTAATATAATCATCAATAATTAAAAGAATTAGTGTCCCATATGGTTCTCAGCAGGGTCGGGGTCGATCCCATCAATTCCAAGTTCAATTTAGAGGTCTGCATTAATCTGCATTAAATATATCAGTGAAGGTCATTTGACAAGTAGAATCACACGTGTTTTGATTAATTTGAATCTGAACTGAATTAGTACAAATGGGACTGACTTTAAAATGATGATCTCTATACCCAAAGTATAGTCCATTAGCCAAGACATGTTTGGTCTTTGCTTCTTTAGTTTAGTTTAGTTTAGTTTAACTTAACTATTGCTTTTTTTCCAAAGCCAGGCCTACCACCTCTCTATGAAGTATGTAACTGAACACAAAGTCACCCTGCAAAATGCAAACACAAACTAAAGATAATTTTGCAATAATGATAGGCAAAACAATTCCAAAGTTGGGACAGTAGATAAAATGCAAATAAAAAACAGAAAGCAGTGATTTGTAAATTTACAAAGGAAAAAAAAATATAGAAACAAGATAATTACTGTTTCATCCTTTCAACTTCGTTTTTTTTTTAATATAAAAATATATGCTCATTATGGAACTGAGGCCTGCAACACATTCCAGAAAAGTTGGGACAGGGACGATGAAAGACTGGAAACTTGAAATGTTACAAAAAACATCCTAAACAGGTGATGCAATCAAGCTTAGGTGTAAAATGAGCATTCAGTAAAGGCTGAGTATTTATGAGTGATGGTTGGTTGAGGCTTTCCACTTTGCATCAATATTCTAAGTGTAATGTTCCTTAGCAAGCATTCGCAAAGATTTCCAGTGTTTCACCCTCTACAGTGCAGAATATCATCAATAGATTCAGACAAAAGATTCTACTACACATATATCGACAACATCCAGGGACGCAGCTAACTTGTCTGAGCTAAAGCTCATCTGATGTAAAGTGGAAAAGCTCTGTGATCTGAGGAAAACCGTGATGGAATGGGGGGGGGTGTTAGTACGTAACCTGCACTTCAGTGAAGGCATCATTAATGCTGAGGGGTACATATGCATATATGCTGCCATCTAGATGACATCTTTTTCAGAGGCATCATTCAGAGGCACTTGTTTCAGCAAAACAATGGCAAGTGACATTTTGTATGTTTTACAATAGAGCGGCTTCATAGTAAAAGAGTGCAGATGCTAGACTGACCTGCCTGCAGTCCAGACCTGTCTCTCACTGATAATATGTGGCTCATATGAAGTGCACTGGAGACCTGGGACTGTTGAGCAGCTGAAGTGTTACATCAAGCAAGAATGGAAAAACAATTCCACTTTCATAACTACAGCAGTTGATGTCCTCAGTTCCCAAAAGATTACTGAACAATTTTTAAAAGGAAAGGTGATGCAACACAGTGGTCAACATGCCCCTGTCCCAGTGTTTTTGAAAAATGTTGCAGGCATCAATTTAGTTAATAAGTTAAGAAGTGAATTAGTTGGAACATTAAATATTGTATCTCTCAACTGAATACATCAAAGAGAATTTGCAGATCATTTCTATCTGTTTTCATGTACATTTTACTTTGTCCATATTTTAACCATAAACTGAGTGAGTCTGAACGGGATTTTTGTCACCATTCTGGAAAGCTCGTCAAATGTAGCAACAGTAACTACGAAAGAATGTATTTACAGGCGGAGAGAATGGATCCATTTCAACTTATACGATCACATTATAGTCAAATAATTCATTTCAGCTCTGTAGTCATACTATTTAAGATGCTTTCACTTGCCAAGATGTCGTTCTTTTGCAATAAGAGACCGTTACCTTTTTCCTGATGACATCATCAGGAGTTGGCCAAAGTGAACTGTTGCTATTCAGTAAATCACTGACCTCAACAACCCACTGGTCCAGAGAAAGGTCATCCATCAACTAAAATACTACATAGATCTGTGTGTGTATGTGTGTGTGTCTTAGCGGGGCTCGCCCGGCGTGGACAGACACATAAAGAACGTTTAAACGCTGAGCTGGCCGAGTGAAGAGAGCAAGACAGGCTGAAGAGATTTACAGGCCGTGGATCAATGCTACCTCATGAATTCAGCCTTGTTCACTATGAGCTAACAGCACAGAGCGAAACAGCCTGAGCGGCTGTGATATACTACACAGAGGCTAAAACAACACTGGGCTAGTCTTTCTTCTGAATACAGAAAGACCCAGGCCTTTTTTTCCACTGGCTTTTGTGGCTGAAAAGGGTGTTAGGTTTAATCATCATGTCATGAAATGCTCAGCTATAAACCATAAGCGGAAGGTGGGCCATATGATAAATTATTGTATCACAATAGGCTTTTCTGACCCTCCGCATATCATATAATCTGTATGTTCTGGAAAACTTTATTCTAAAAAAAAGACGTTTTGTTAAAATTGAAAGTAGCATTGCTGAGCAAGAAGGAAAAACAGGCTAAAACATGACGAGAGTCGCCCTGTAAGGCCAGAAAATGGCCAACAATAAAAGTCAGAGGTGATTTTGCAGGAGCTTTTTGGACCACGTTACACGTCTTTACATGTTAACGTCACACGTCTTTACATGTTAACGTCACACGTCACTGACTCAAAAATAAGATCTGACTCGATGTTTAGGTCTCAAATGCAAAACCAACATGCTCTTGCAGCGCGCTCACAATCATCAGATCCATCTGCTTGGCGAAGGGGTCCGAAGCACAACCCATTTCACAAATTAATCTTCCACATGAAACATTTCTGAAACCTTAGACAATACTGTGAGACATATTGTGTGTTGTGAAAATGTCTTTAAGTATCGTGATGTTTTATATTTGTCAAATCGCCCACCCTCAGAAAACAGTAATCACTGGGTGGTAATGATAAAGAGAGGGCAGCCGACCATTAATGAGACCATTAAAATGATTCAGGTTACTGCAACACTGTTGGTGTTATCATGTTATACAGTGAAGACAGACTACACACTCATACACAGGCTTGTGGCTGGGTTAGCTTACATACATGACAGCGCTTACTTATCTTATGATGTATGGCCTGGTGTTGGCAGGTGCTCTGGGGTTATTTGTGGACGCAGAAAGGTGAAGGTTCTCAGACAAAAGAGTCCACACAGAAAGAACGGTAGGCCTACAAATGAGGCATTAATATTTATTTTATACAGTAACGTCTCAGTATAACAGTGTATGCAATACTTCTTAAAATGGAACGACTAGACTGTTAGTTATTAGATATTACAGTCATCTTAACTATCACATTATGGAAAATACTTAGTTGTACTTCATTACTATAGTGTTATTTGGGAAAACCTGTACTTTATTTGAGTGTTTATTAAAATGAATACTTATATTTCTTCTCAATTATATATCCAAAAGAAAAAACTTTTTACGTCGTACATTTTCATTTGCAGCTTCATTTTTATTTGGACAGCCAACTTAATGTTCTGAGCAGTGAAGGAAGCAACTGTTTATAGCACTGTTAGGCTGGATGTTCCATATTAAATGAGCTGTATGCAATATAATATTGATGGATTTGACCCTTTAATGTTCTGCTCAACCATTTGGTAGAGCACATTTTGAGTCACTATAAATGCCACAAAGTGCCATCTTGACTGTTTGGTAGACGTGAATATTTAAAAAATTGTGGGGTCAAAAAAACGAAAAAACAAACAAAAAAAAAAACAGGAAACAAGACAAGAAAACTGTATTAGCATATGAGCTATTAGACAACACTGAACACTGAGCTGTGTTTACTTCCTGTTTTAACTTCTGAGAGGTTCCAAAATGACACCAATTACATTTCTCTGCTGTCTTTACTATTAAAAGGTGTTTGTTTGCCTGTTTAATTTCAGTGATCTTATCTAGTAAAACCATTTTAAAAACTAAATAATGTTTCAAATTAAATTAGATGTGAAGGGCTTAATTTTAAAAAGGCGTTACAGACCATTTTCACCTTTTTATTTCCTGACGTGTTGTTGAGAGCGAGTTTTACACCAGAAATATCAACGATATTAAGATCAATGCCACCTTTATTAGAGAAATAAACATTTATATATATAGTGTTTTGAAAATAAATCTCTTGGTGTTTTTTTCCTCCTTCTCTCCAACTGCGCATCTTTGCGCAGTGTGTATGTCCTTGAACGCAGACACGCGCTGGCTCATGGGAACGGGAGCTCGCTTGGCGGCTAGCTTGAATTCGTAAACAAACCAAACCGGCCAACTCGGGGCAAAAAATACGGGATAACGTCCGAAATTCCGGAGTTAAGTCGCACAAATAACATTGTTTGGGCTGTGCGACTCTTTGTAAACATGCCACGCGGATGTGGTTAGTGTTCAAACAGGATGAACGGCGGAAAGAAGAAGGGTTTTTGCTCCAGCCCGGAGGAGGAAAGAAGGGAAGGCGATCAAAACAGGGAGATTTCAAAAATTGTCCAGAGCAAATCGAAAATAAACAGACTGAGGAGAAGCCCGAGAGCCAGCCAGCCTCAGCCACGACATCAGGAGCCCCCTAACAGCTCGAACAGCTCTAACAGCGTACCGGGTAAATCTGGGAGCATCGGCGAGCGTCTTAGTCAAGTTACTTCAATCAGCTTCATCTATAACATTAAACCCGTTTCTACACTCACAGTCCGTTTATCAGCTCCACTTACTATATAGGTGCACTTTGTAGTTCTACAGTTACAGACTGTAGTCCATCTGTTTCTCTGATACTTTGTTAGCCCCCTTTTACCCCGTTCTTCAGTGGTCAGGACCCCCATGGACCCTCACAGAGCAAGTACTATTTGGGTGGTTGATCATTCTCAGCACTGCAGTAACACTGACGTGGTGGTGGTGTGTTAGTGTGTGTTGCACTGGTCTGAGTGGATCAGACACAGCAGTGCTGCTGGAGTTTTTAAACACCTCAGTGTCACTGCTGGACTGAGAATAGTCCACCAACCAAAAATATCCAGCCAACAGCGTCCTGTGGGCAGCGTCCTGTGACCACTGATGAAGGACTAGAGGATGACCAACACAAACTGTGCAGCAGCAGATGAGCTATGACTGTACGTCTCTGACTTTACATCTACAAGGTGGACTGAGAAGGTAGGAGTGTCTAATAGAGTGGACAGTGAGTGGACACAGTGTTTAAAAACTCCAGCAGCACTTCTGTGTCTGATCCACTCGCACCAGCACAACACACACTAACACATCACCACCACGTCAGTGTTACTGCAGTGCTGAGAATGATCCACCATCCAAATAGTACCTGCTCTGTGAGGGTCCATGGGGGTCCTGACCACTGAAGAACAGGGTAAAAGGGGGCTAACAGAGTATGCAGAGAAACAGATGGACTACAGTCTGTAATTGTAGAACTACTAAATGCACCTATATGGTAAGTGGAGCTCATGAAATGGGCAATGCGGTCGCCAGCTAGAGGGGTAAAGAGCCCCCCGCAGTTGAGCTGTGGAGCAGTGGAACTGTGTTCTCTGGAGTGATTGAGCTTCATTCAGTACCTTTGGGATGAGCTGGAGTGATCCAGAACTAATCATCCAACATCGATACCTGACCTCACTGAAGCTCTTGTGGCTGAATGCAATCAAATGTCTCCCAGCTATGTTCCATCATCTAGTGTAAAGCCTTTCTAAAAGCGTAGAGGCTGCTACTGCAGTAAAGGGGGGCAAACTCCATATTAAGTCTTCTGATTTCAGAAGAAACACTATATGACCAGGTGTCTACAGATCTACAGACTTTTGGACAAGCAATGTATGGAATATGGCTCCTCCTTTAAAATGACAAACATGTAAACATTGTAAAACAGGAGAAGAGCTACTGGTCATTCTTATTAAGCAGTCCTGTCTTTTGGTTTAGGTTATCCAGCTAAACTGAGGAATCCTGATTTGTGAAATGCCCCATGGACAACAGCTCTGCTTAGTGAAATTACGTAATATGACTTAGATAACTGGTTTAACAGAGGAGTATTTCTGAGTTAGCCTTATAATTAAAGGCCAAAAATAAGCCTGATAAGCCTGTCCAATAAGGATATACTATTTTTTTTAATTTATATTCTGATTCTGATTTCCCAACAGCAAAATTGGCCAATGGCAGATTTTTATCAGCCTTTTTTTAAACCAAAGATCACACTAGGTGTGCTGAATGAACGAGCACAGTTCCAGTACTGTCTATTAGCCAGAGTTGCAACTGTAAATATACATGATATTATTCACTCTATAATAGGTCAAACTGGCAAATTAAATTCTTAAACAAATAAATAATAAATTAATAACACATCAAATAAAGTGCTGGCTATTTAGCACAATAGTTATAATTATGCTGTGACATTTTTGTACACCTGCTACACCTGTACACGTTATTTCTGTAATAAAATTTTCTGTAATTCTGTAATATTCTGTAATAAATCTCTGTGATAAAATTGTATAACATAAAAGTAAAAGTAAATTGGCTGAATTCCAATCGTGAATTTGGGGAAAAAAACCTGCAGATTCTCATCTTGGCACGATTCTGATTGTGCATCTATACTGTCCAGCTAAACTGAGTACTCTACACTTGTGAAATACCCCCATGAGGAAGTGGCAGATTATAATTTAGCCTTTTTAATATGTGTGTTTTTCTGTTTCTGTTCAGATTTCAAAACACCCACCCGTCTGCCCACCCGTCTGCCAAGGGGCAGATTTAGAAGCTCGAATAACGACGAGTCTCCAAACAATGATTCTGAATTTCAACATGACATCGTCTGGGATCCAGACTCTCCAGTGACTCCTAATAGAAACGGCAAGGGCAGTTCATATTGAAACAGGTGCCCCTCAGTGACCGGCTGTTTAAATATGTGGCCATGTTTCATTAACACGTTTGTTTTTGTTTTTGTTTTCCTCAGGACGAGGCCGGAGGAGAGCTACAAACGTCAGACTGGTGGACATATCAGAAATCGTCAACCGGATAGCTCCGAAGGTTTGTTATCCAAAACGTGCACTGACTCCGCTGTACGGATGCACAGCATGTTGTTTGTTGTCATCACAATAGGATGCAGTATTGCAGTACTGATGTTGCACAGTGCCGCAGTATTTCAGTTAACCCTCTAACAAATCACACTGTATTATGTGCTCTAATCAACCTCAGATCTTTCTGTTGGTGTTTTGATAAATCTAGCCAATTATGTGATGCAACAAATACTTTTAGTTGAAAAGCGTTCAGCCCTTTCTTTAATTTATGGAACACCTATGTGCTTCCATGTATTACAAAGCTTATTGCGGTTGCATTGTGAAACAAGAAATATGTTTTTAATGATCATAATGTCTTTCTTATGTCTTTTAGAGTCGGAGACCTGAAGAGGCAGAGTCTTCTTTGCTGCAGTGGATTGGGGACAGTGCCATTCCATGCACTCCAGAAGTTCAAGAGCCCAGGACCAAGCCTAAATCAGCAAGGTTCATCCTTTCACACTTCTGTACTGGCATTTTGTGATAGAAATTAGCCTGTAAAATGCAGAGAGATTCTAGTTTATTAGGTAAACTATCCACTGATGGGCAGTGTGGCTGATAAATTGGGCAGTAGGGATACTTTTCCAACAGGACTGAAGAAGATGCACATATTCTGAGGCTCTGTCTGGTGTACACATTTTAATGTAAATTTAAGATGTTTTGGATATAATTTTGTACATAGGCATCAACTTCATCATTTACATGTGTCTTAGGAACTTCTTTTCCATTTAGGAAAAGCCTTTACATCAAAATGTCTTTAAGATGATTTAAAAAAAAAAAAAAGCATACTCAGCATTTTCAGACTTTTGAGTGATAGTGTGTATGATAAGTGTTTCTGATAAAATGGCCAGGGAATGTAAGTACAATGTAGCCTAGGTGTACCTAATAAAGTCAGAGCTTGCTGTATGTCTCTATACGTTATACTTTTATTTATTTTTATTTTGTGTCTGCACAGACCAAACGTTGTGGATGACCTGCTGAAGCTGGCGAAGCAGTTTGACTTCAATATGATCCGGCAGGATGAATCTCATTTCCAGACCAGACAGCAGAGCTCTGAGGAAGCAATGGACGAGGACCAGGAGCTGTTTTATGATGAGAATCACCCACCAGCTCCACCGCAGAACGACTCTGAAGCTGAGAGAGCACTGCAGGAGTTGGAGGAGGCTGAAACAAGTGGTGGTGGTGATCCTATGGATGATGTGGCACTTGGGCAAGAAATGGACGACGATCTGGACTTGCTTTTTGATGGTTCAACACAGCAAATCAGTGGTTGTCTCAGCCAGGGTTGGAGTGGCCGTTCTCAGGATAGGCCTGAAATCACCCAGGGTACAGCAGCTCCCAGTGGAAACTGCACTAGTGCTACTAATGTGCCTGCTGTCACAGCAGCGCTGTGCAGTAGCAGCAGTCGTCAAAGTCTTGCGGCCGGAGTGGGCGGTGCCTCCGAACCAGGTATTGCTAGTGTGTCTGCAAAACTCGGCAACAGCAGGCAGGTTTGCAGTGCTAACGATTTTGAAGACGACTGGAGTAATGATGACTTATTAGATGATTCACTGGTGTTTGACATGACCCAAAACCCACAGCTCTTCTCTGCGCCTCAGCATAGCTCCACCCAGAAACAAGTGAACAAAAAAGAAGGCGGCAGTTTCACCAACAACATGAATGGCACTTACCATCACCAGCAAGCTGGCAATGAAGAAAGGTCTGGTACATTACAAGAGATGATAACATTACAAGAGTCAAACCAGAAGCTCAGGAGCAGGCAGACCTTTCAGCTGGACCATAATCTTGGTCACCAATGGAATAAGCCTTCAGCAGAGTTGTCTAGCAACAGTAACAATTTAGGATTTGCGGAGAACAATCAACAAATCCAGGTTCTTCCTTCCATCAAAGCTTCATCAGTGGTTGTAGGTTCAGCTAACTCACATCCAGACCGGTGGCAGGGTTGCATATCTAAAGCTAGTGACCAAACACCGGAGCCAATCAAAGTGCAGAAACCTTCAGGAACAGCTAAGTGGGGAATTCAAGCTGGGACTAAAACCTCATTAGTTTCTAGCTCTGCTTCACCCAAATTAGTTTCTACTTCTTCCAGCTTCGGGTTTGATAGGAACATTGAGATCATTGAGAAAAAACAGAGCCAACCAAGCACAGAAGAACAAGGCCTCAGCGACATCGCAGATGAGGACCTGGACTCCATCTTCGCATCGGATGACATCTGGGACGACGGAGCAGATGACGACTTGTTCTGTGAAGTGTGTGAGAAGGTGGAGGAATTCACGGCTGATCCAGACCCTCATCTGGAGGCATCTGTTGCAAAGCCCCCTACAAAAAACAGCCCTGCACAGAGCAGGACATTTGTTTCCTCCATGGAGACTGGCCAAAACACTACTGCTAACATGTTCCCCAAACAGGACAGTATGATTTCACGGCCATATCCACCTAATAGCTGGATTAATAATAGCAATGCTGCTGGCAAGCACAACAGTTTTAGTACACAGAAACCTGTTCTTACCGCAGTTAACGCACTTAACTTTAGGAGTAGGCCAGTGGAGAACTCACTGGACAACAGCATGAACTCTTACACCAGTACATCATGTAAAGGGCCTTACAAATTTACCCATGTGAAAAACACTTCAAGAGTATTAGATGGAGCCTTTAGTGCCATGCAACAACAGCAGGTCAGCGGGAGAAGTGCAGTAATGTCCAACCAATCAGCAGTTTCGGATGATCATCAGTTCAAAAAGCCTTTTAGCGCCTTTAATGCTGGGCCTGCTATCACCAAAGGTAAAAAAAGTTTGCAATTAATTTGGAAAGCATTTCTATATGTAGATAATTATCATGTGTTACTTAGTCATTAGCTTCTTTCCAAAATGCTTGAAATACTGAATGCAGCATCTTACAAGTGCCTCACTGTAGATCAGGGGGGCTCAATCCTGGTCCTGGAGATCTACCACCCTGCACGGTTTGGCTCCAGCTCTAATTAAACACACCTGATCCAGGTAATAAAGGCCTTCAAGGGCATCTGAGCTGTAGAGCCAGGTGTGTTAGATCTAAGCTGTCCAGGGTGGTAGAGCTCCAGGACCAGGATTGGGCACCCCTGCTGTAGATACTCTGTATAATAAATATATCACTGCTGTTGGAGCAAAACCTCGTATCTCCATTTTCAGGTTTTGACATAATTTGAAAATGCCTGTTGCCCTTTACATTTTCTGCAAGTTTCATGATAAATAGACCAAAAGAAACGGCCCAGAATTACTCCCAGAATAGTCTGGATCCATTGACTTACATTATTCTTATTCTTCTCCTGTAAAATTTTGGAGATATGAGGTTTTGTTCCAACAACAGTAATATATTAATGTGAAATGTGATTCTAAACATTGGAATGGAAATTTGTTTAGCACATATATAGATTTTTGACCAAAAAATAGATTGTACACTCATGTTTGGTACTGAAATGTAATTTTATTACTGTGAATTAATGAACTGCCTAATAAATCAGACTGAATATATGATTCAAGATCTTGTAGAAGAAACTAGGGGTGCACAGATATTACAGTTAGCCAGTAAATGGGAGACTGTACTTATTTTTGTCAATCTTACTCTGGAATTACAGTCGATAATTGGATCAGTGCATTTTATGTATGGATTATATTGTCAACTTTAGGGATGTAGCAGTGTGTTGTGAAAATGGGATATTCGCTGGATATTCGACTTTCTCTCCTCCAGTTCTCCTTAAAGGAACGTCCAGAAATGAGCCACTTTGTTTACTCCTGAAAAACAGAGAACAAACTACAACCAAATGTTTTTTTAAAATGTGTGATGGTACATTTTACTGAACAAAACGTTTCAGAAAAGCAGATCACTGGTGTGTCATTAAGGGACTGTCTAAACAGTGCAAAACAAATTTCCCCAGTATTTAGTTAAAATCAGGCCACACCAAGTCACTTGTGGTAAAGAGAGCAGATTTCTTTAAACCCCAGTTAAGCCATTTTCTTTACTACAAGTGATTTCATGTGAACAAAATCATTCAGAGTGGTTCGGTGTGAAATGTGCCTTTCCAGAGAAACTACAGAGTCAGAATTGTTCACCATTATATTACTAGGAACCAGATGTCTGAAGCATGTAATGGCTCTAAAAGCTCTGTCCCGTTAAGTTATTACACAAAATGGTTATGAATGCGTAGCTTGATACCTAAGACATTTATTTGTGACAGTTTTGGCCTAAAATGGATTTTTAGTATAAACTTTTACTCCAGGATTACTTCAACCCAGGGCAATTGGAAACTGGTGGTGTCAACAACAAACTACTTGCTGCTTTGCTTTCCAGTTTATGAGGCAGGATAGTGAGGTAGACAGTCTGTAAGCTAAGGGCTAACGGTGATATATATGCACAGTGGCTAATGGCAACAAATTTATTTCACATATGTTTCTTACCTTGATTCCATTTTCTGTGGTGGAAAACACAACAGAGGGAACAGCAGTTTTCTTTAGTAGCCGGCATTTGAAGAAATCCACTGTGCATTGGTTTTAGTTCAGTTCGACTTTGGTATTTGTGTGCAGCTTCAAAGCAAGTAGCCACAACTACAGGATTTCTGGTATTTGTAACGGCAACCGACGCACTGTCCTGCATTTTCTCCATTTATTTTTGAGCCCTGGTTCAGCGCAGTTCACCACCACTCTGAACAATTAACCAGCAAGGTGCAGCTGTGATTTATCACAGCTCCTCTGATGAATAACGTTACTCACATAAGCTGAGTTTTGTTGACACCATGTGACGCAACACTGCCAACCCAAACAACATGACATGCAGGCAGGGTGGAGAGGTACATGCAGGGCGTTGTAAGAAAAAATAGTACACAAAAACATTTTTTTTTAATTTAGCACCGTTTTACCATTATTAGCATGGCTAATAAAAAATATAAGACACATATAAGTTCACTGGTCTTTTTGGATAACAAATGGTGATATTTGTAGTGCAGACATATGGATGTCTGGTTCCCAGTACTATAATGGTGAACAATTTTGACTCTGTAAATTTATAGGCACATTTCACACCGAAACACTCTGAATGACTTTATTTACATCTAAACATTGAATAATTATGTAATTTTGCAAAATCCCCTTTAAACGCTTTTTTTAGTGATCTGTGTTTCCAAGCTGCTGTGTTTTTTGTAGTTGTTGTAATAGTTCACAGTTATTAACTGTAATTATTTCTGGTTAATTCTAGTTTGTTTAGTTTGTTGAATTCAGCTGGTTTAAGGGCAACAACAGGTCGGAAACCTTGAAGTGGTCCTGCCGTCATAGTCTTAGTCAGAATCTGACCAAACGAGCTGCAGGTGGAATATTGTCTTATAGAAATTATGTATTAATTTTAGGTTATGCATTAATTTTCTCAAAAAAGGTCAAATTATTGGTATTGACCAACAGGGTATTATTTATTGGTTAGTATAACTGTGTCTGTGGATCTCTAGAACAAACTGGTTTTGTCTGTTTTCCCAGATGTCAGTAAGGCGGTGGCGGGCAGGTGCAGTGATGCTGAGATTGAGCGGAAGAGGCAGCAGGCCATGGAGAGGCGGAGGCTGCGGATGACAGCCAGTCAGAACCTTCGGGCTCCGATATGACATCACCATGGAGAGAGTCAACATGTGGTCATTTGCAGAACGTCAAGCACCGAGTTGACCTGCTGGGAGACGAAATAGCAGCACATAGTCAGTTGTGTTCGGTTGAATCGAGACCTACAGCTGAATCCATTTTCTGCTCCGGACCTTGGAAACTATGTCTGACAGAAATCAAGGAATATGTGAAAGTTTGCTGTACAGTTGTCTACCTTTTTATGCAGTTCATCTCCCCCTGGGTTCTTGGTCAGCTGTGCAGTCTATACAAAACTTTCCTGCACAGTGTCTAAATGTAGTTGTATCCTTGATGATGGAGGCTCTAAATTTTCTTTTTCATTTGTTTAAATGTGTTTTATATGTTGTCTTTTTGATCCTGTACATATTCCAAAATAATCCAAGCGTTCAGATGCACTCATAATGGATATATGTGAATGTTTTAACCGACTCTTTATTTTTAAAAAAATGAATAATAAAATATGTTCTGTGGTGTCTGTTTTTGAAGAATTAAATTCTAATCATCTTTGTGGAATTTAGGGTCTTATTTTCACAGCTTTAACAATTACTGGCTAAAATGTGATGAAAAAACACAGTACTGGGTTGGTTCAATCACTGCGTCTCATTACATTTGGTATCATACACACCATTAGCTTATAATCAATATAGAACTGATGGTGATAAAGGAAAAAAAGGAAAACCTAAACTGGACTACAGGACTGGAAATACTGGACACTTTTTAACCATTGGTTAAGTTTCATGAAGTCGTTTTAGAGAAAATACTTTCAGCACGTCAGACTGATGGTGAACTCTGGGTGGAGAAATCCTGCAGAAGAGTTCCAGCCTGACTGCACTGAGGCCACTGCAGAGCGCAGAGACGGAGATGTAAATATCTGGGGCTGTTCTTCTTACAGTGGTGTTGAGTTTGTTCACTGATGGGATCGTGGACTCAGGTGTGCAGTGCATTCAGGTGTAAACCTGCAGAAATCTGAAAACACTCGCTCAAATAATAAGACTGAAACTCTCCAGCTGACCTTTCAAAGAACAGTTTGGCAAAGGAAAAGGAGCGTCTTAGAGAGTTTAAAATGAAGGACTCTTAGTTTGACGTTTGGTTTCCTGACGTAATGAAATGACCAGAAACTGATACTGTTACAGTTCATAAAATCACTCAGAGGCATTTCATAATAGTTTGGCAAGAAACAGTTTTCTTTTTCTTTCTTTCTTTCGTTCTTTTTCTTTCTTTCTTTCGTTCTTTTTCTTTCTTTCTTTCTTTCTTTCGTTCTTTCTTTCTTTTTTTCTTTCTTTCTTTCTTTCTCGCTTTCTTCCTTCCATTGCTTTTCTTTCTCTATCTTCTTTCTTTAATTTTTTCTCTTTCTTTCTTTCTTTCTTTCTTCCTTCCATTGCGTTTCTTTCTCTTTCCTTCTTTTATCTTTCTTTCTTTCTTCCTATCTTTCTTTTTTCTTTTTTTTTCTTTCATTGGCTTTCTTTTTCTTTCTTTCTTTCTTTCTTTCTTTCTTTCTTCCATTGCTTTTCTTTCTCTTTCTACTTTCTTTATTTTTTTCTCTTTCTTTCTTCCATTGGCTTTCTTTCTTTCTTTCTTTCCTTTCTTCCATTGCCCGCCTTTCTCTCTTTCTTTCTTCCTTCCATTGCGTTTCTTTCTCTTTCTTCTTTCTTTCTCTCTTTCTTCCTATCTTTCTTTCTTTCTTTCTTCCTTCCATTGCCTTTCTTTCTCTTTCTTTTCTTTTTTTATTTTTTTTTCTTTCTTTCTTTCTTTCTTTCTTTCTTTCTTTCTTTCTTTCTTTTTCTTTCTTTCTTTCTTCCATCCATTGTCTTTTTTCTTTTTTCCATCCATCTTTCTTTTCTTCTTTCTTTCTTTCTTTGTTTCTTCCATAGCTTTTCTTTCTTTCTTTCTTTCTTTCTTTCTTTCTTTCTTTCTTTCTTTCTTTCTTCCTTCCTTCCTTCCATTGTCTTTCTTTCTCTTTCTTCTTTCTTTCATTGTCTTTCTTTCTTTCTTTCTTTCTTCCTTTCTTCCTATCTTTCTTCCTTCCATTGCCTTTCTTCCTCTTTCTTCTTTCTTTCTTTCTTTCTTCCTTCCATTGTCTTTCTTTCTTTCTTCTTTCTTTCTTTCATTGTCTTTCTTTCTTTCTTTCTTCCTTTCTTCCTATCATTGCCTTTCGTCCTCTTTCTTCTTTTTTTCTTTCTTTCTTTCTTCCTTTCATTGTCTTTCTTTCTTTCTTTCTTTCTTTCTTCCTTCTTTCCATTGCTTTTCTTTCTCTTTCTTCTTTCTTTCTTTCTTTCTTTCTTCCATTGCCTTTCTTTCTCTTTCTTCTTACTTTCTTTTTTTCTTTATTTCTTTCTTCCATTGGCTTTCTTTCTTTTTTTCTTTCTTTCTTTCTTTCATTGGCTTTCTTTCTTTCTTTCTTCCTTCCATTGCTTTTCTTTCTCTTTCTTTCTTTTTTTCTTTCTTTCTTTCTTCCTATCTTTCTTTTTTCTTTTTTTTTTCTTTCATTGGCTTTCTTTTTCTTTCTTTCTTTTTTTCTTTCTTTCTTTCTTCCTTCCATTGCTTTTCTTTCTACTTTATTTTTTTCTCTTTCTTTCTTTCGTTCTTTCTTTCTTCCATTGGCTTTCTTTCTTTCTTCCTTCCATTGCTTTTCTTTCTACTTTATTTTTTTCTCTTTCTTTCTTTCGTTCTTTCTTTCTTCCATTGGCTTTCTTTCTTTCTTTCTTTCTTTCTTTCTTTCTTTCTTTCTTTCATCCATTGCCTGCCTTTCTCTCTTTCTTTCTTCCTTCCATTGCGTTTCTTTCTCTTTCTTCTTTCTTTCTCTTTCTTCCTATCTTTCTTTCTTTCTTTCTTCCATTGCCTTTCTTTCTCTTTCTTTTCTTTTTTTATTTTTTTCTCTTTCTTTCTTTTTCTTTCTTTCTTTCTTTCTTTCTTTCTTTCTTCCATCCATTGTCTTTTTTCTTTTTTCCATCCATCTTTCTTTTTATGAGCGAAGTTATCAGTGTGGAAGTCCTTCAGGTTGGTGTCTGAAGGGCAGGAGGTGGATGTTCTGAAACTGTTCCGAGCTCTAGTAGAGTCACGCATTAGAGTTGAGTTTGTTTTTTACCAAAGTACTCAGAACATTTCCTGTTTTGAGAGAAAGTGGTGTGCTGGTGAAAGTATTGTATCTGTCAGTGATCTGGGTGTGATATCATTTCATTGGTGAATCTTTGTGGATGGGTGGATTCTCTTTGGGGATCCTCATTATTATTAATATAACTATTAGCTCTTTATCATAGGATGTAAAATTCTTTGATTATTAATGCTTCAATAAAAAGGGGGTTAAAAGTCAAAGTCTTTTCTTCTTTCTTTCTTTCTTTGTGTTTCTTCCATAGCTTTTCTTTTTTCCTTTCTTTCTTTCTTTCTTTCTTTCTTTCTTTCTTTCTTTCTTTCTTCCTTCCATTGTCTTTCTTTCTCTTTCTTCTTTCTTTCTTTCTTTCTTTCTTTCTTTCTTTCTTTCTTTCTTTCTTTCTCTCTTTCTTCCATTGCCTTTCTTTCTCTTTCTTCTTTCTTTCTTTTTTTTCTTTCGTTCTTTCTTCCATTGCCTTTCTATCTCTTTCTTCTTACTTTCTTTCTTCCTTCTTTCCATTGCCTTTCTTTCTCTTTCTTCTTTCTTTCTTTCTTTCTTTCTTCCATTGCCTTTCTTTCTCTTTCTTCTTACTTTCTTTTTTTCTGTATTTCTTTCTTCCATTGGCTTTCTTTCTTTTTATACTTTCTTTCTTTCTTTCTTTCTTTCTTTCTTTCTTTCTTTCTTTCTTCCTTCCTTCCATTGCTTTTCTTTCTCTTTCTTTCTTTTTTCTTTCTTTCTTTCTTCCTATCTTTCTTTTTTCTTTTTTTTTCTTTCATTGGCTTTCTTTTTCTTTCTTTCTTTCTTTCTTCCTTCCATTGCTTTTCTTTCTCTTTCTACTTTATTTTTTTCTCTTTCTTTCTTTCGTTCTTTCTTTTTTTCCATTGGCTTTCTTTCTTTCTTTCTTTCTTTCTTTCTTTCTTTCTTTCGTCCATTGCCTGCCTTTCTCTCTTTCTTTCTTCCTTCCATTGCGTTTCTTTCTCTTTCTTCATATCTTTCTTTCTTTCTTTCTTCCTTCCATTGCCTTTCTTTCTCTTTCTTTTCTTTTTTATTTTTTTTCTCTTTCTTTCTTTCTTTTTCTTTCTTTCTTTCTTCCATTGTCTTTCTTTCTTTCTTTCTTCCATCCATTGTCTTTTTTCTTTTTTCCATCCATCTTTCTTTCTTTCTTTCTTTCTTTCTTTGTGTTTCTTCCATATCTTTTCTTTTTTCCTTTCTTTCTTTCTTTCTTTCTTTCTTTCTTCCTTCCATTGTCTTTCTTTCTCTTTCTTTCTTTCTTTCATTGTCTTTCTTCCTTTCTTTCTTTCTTTCTTCCTATCTTTCTTCCTTTCATTGCCTTTCTTCCTCTTTCTTCTTTCTTTCTTTATTTCTTCCTTCCATTATCTTTCTTTCTTTCTTTCTTCCTTCTTTCCATTGCCTTTCTTTCTCTTTCTACTTTTTCTTTCTTTCTTCCATTGCCTTTCTTTCTCTTTCTTCTTTCTTTCTTTCTTTCTTTCTTTCTTTCTTTCTTCCATTGCCTTTCTTTCTCTTTCTTCTTTTCTTTATTTCTTTCTTCCATTGGCTTTCTTTCTTTTTATACTCTTTCTTTCTTTCTTCCATCCATTGTCTTTTTTCTTTCTTCCATCCATCTTTCTTTCTTTGTGTTTCTTCCATATCTTTTCTTTTTCTTTCTTCCTTTCTTTCTTCCTTTCTTTCTTTCTTTCTTTCTTTCTTTCTTTCTTTCTTCCATCCATTGTCTTTTTTCTTTCTTCCATCCATTGTCTTTTTTCTTTCTTCCATCCATTGTCTTTTCTTTCTTTTTTCCATCCATCATTCTTTTCTTCTTTCTTTCTTTCTTTCTTCCATATCTTTTCTTTTTTCCTTTCTTTCTTTAAATCTTTCTTTCTTTCTTTCTTCCATTGTCTTTCTTTCTCTTTCTTTCTTTCTTTCTTTCTTCCATTGTCTTCCTTTCTTCCTTTCTTCTTTCTTTATTTCTTCCTTCCTTCCATTGCCTTTCTTTCTTTCTTACTTTCTTTCTTCCTTCTTTCCATTGCCTTTCTTTCTCTTTCTACTTTTTCTTTCTTTCTTTCATTGCCTTTCTTTCTTTCTTTCTTTCTTTCTTTCTTTCTTTCTTTCTTTCTTTCTTTCTTCCATTGCCTTTCTTTCTCTTTCTTCTTTCTTTCTTTTTTTCTTCCGTTCTTTCTTCCATTGCCTTTCTATCTCTTTCTTCTTAC